CGGCCAGGGGAAGCCTTGCTGAACAGAGAAACAGACGGGACAAGGATGTCAGGGGCCTCTGGCGTTGGTCAGGTTTCTCTGACACGAGATGATATATGACAACTTTCGATAAGAGTCCGCATGGAGCAACGGAGGAGCCCTGCGTCAGTCAGGGACCCCGGTATCGAATAGGGATCCTTCACTCACTTCAGTTAGAGGCCCGTTAAGCCAAACTTGAGTCGATAAGGCGATAGGGCATCTGCTTGAGTCAATGAAGGCCCGTGCGTCTGCCCGGAGTCAGCTTCCCGGATGGCGGTGTTTCTCGCGCCGGAGGGCACCAGTGTATGATGCTTCCCTTTAAGGGCCTCTGGACGACCAGGTTACTCCTCCCGTGCCGCCAGAATGGTAGCCGGCGGGCACCCAGGCTGGCACGGGATGGCCCTTAGCCCCTGACCGAGAACGATAACGTGCCCTGGTGTTCTATCAATGGGGCCCCTCGCTCGCCTTAATGTTCGGTAGGGTGGATCGAGGTGGGGTCAAGAATGAACGACAGGTCACCCCATGTTTCCGTGAGGAAGTTCGTTCATTACAGAATCGATTAGTAAAAAAAAAAACAACGTAAAAACGTGTTTAGCCTGCGCGCTCGAAATCTTAGGAGCAAGGGCACCGATGGCGGTGGTTGCCAACTGCTGTAAAACCAAACTGCGGCAACACTAGACAGCGGACGCCGGGCGCACGCGAACGAGCGCTGGGAAATAATGCTCCCAAGAGTCTTCCAAAATGAAGTCGCACCGTTCAGAGATTAAACTGGGGCGTACAATCTCCCGGTATAATTCGAAGGTGATGCTCAGAACACACTAACAGTTCCAGCAAGACAGAAATATAGATGTTACCTTACTTTTCCAGTTCTAGCACGAGGTCTGAACACCAGTTCGCAGTTCTGACGGTGTTCACCCGCTCCTTTTATCGATTGCACTGGTGAACTGTACGCACGGGCTGCCCTTGAAGCGTTCTAATTGAAGTCCTAGATCGTTCAAAGGCACATCTTTCGGATGCGTCACTGTTTTCGTCCCCCGCAGGTCACCACCTCGTGTCAGCCGTGCGGCCGATACTACGCGGCGTCCGGAGGTCCCAACGCCCAGCGCCGAGGCTTTTGTTTCTAAGGCCCGCGAGCGTGCATGTTCATACATATGTTCTATATTTTCCCCGTCTTAATTCTGACTGAAGGTTAAACACCTATCAACGAACACAAGCTGGCCATGTGGATACCAAATTTCGACACCATTTCGATGGTGCTCTTTCATAATGGATTTTGATACGGGTGCTCCTCACAGTACACCCACGGGACCTCGGCAGGTGCAACTTTCAGCCCGGCAAAACTGTTTGCATGTTTAGGCTGGTGAAATGTACATGGCGAAGAACTGCTGCTATAACATAAACACAGCAAACGTATTCTAGGGTCCGGTCCATGGGTCCTAGGCCCCTGATCCTCCAGTATAAAAGATCCAACTGATAATCTATCCAGCATCCACGATAAATGTCTTAATATGGAATCTCTCCTTGCGATCCAAGCTCAGACGCGGCTTCAGTCAAACGTAAATGAAGAGCGGCAGCAGCAGCCACGTCGACACCAGCGCGACACTACGACAGCCACATCCCCGTACACCACAACGACGCCAAGGTGACAGCGACGGGAAAGCACGGCGACACTATGACAGCCACACCACACGACACCACGGCGGCACCGCGGCCACACCACGGCGACACCACGCAACACTAGAGCAACACAACGGCCACAACACGACGGCCACACCACGACGACCACACCAAGGCGACACCTCGCAACCCTAAGGCCACAACACGACAACCACACCACGGCGACACCACGACGGTAACACCAGGGCGACACCACGGTTGCACCACGGTGACACCAGAGCGATCTCAGGGCGACACCAGGACGACCCAGGGTGACACCAGAGCGATCTCAGGGCGACCCCAGGGCGACACCAGGGCGACACCAGGGCGACACCAGGGCGACCCCAGGGCGACACCAGGGCGACACCAGGGCGACCCCAGGGCGACACCAGGGCGACCCCAGGGCGACACCAGGGCGACACCAGGGCGACACCAGGGCGACCCCAGGTGACACCAGTGGCGACACCAGGCGACCCAGGGTGACACCAGGCGACCCAGGGCGACACCAGGGCGACCCCAGGCGACACCCAGGGCGACACCAGGGCGACACCAGGGCACCCAGGGCGACCCCAGGGTGACACCAGGGCGACACCAGGGCGACACCAGGCGACCCCAGGGCGACCCCAGCGACACTAGGCGCACCAGCGACACCAGGGCGACCCAGGCGACACCAGGGCGACCCCAGGGCGACACCAGGGCGACCCCAGGGCGACACCAGGGCGACCCCAGGGCGACACCAGGGCGACCCAGGCGACCAGGGCGACACCAGGGCGACCCACGACACCAGGGCGACCTCAGGGCGACACCAGGGCGACCCCAAGGCGACACCAGGGCGCCGTTCCCGATCATCATCAACCACGAGCTGTTGTCACCTGCAGGAGCGTGACGTCACGGCTCGGGCTGCCGTGGACGACGCGACAGACGGCGCTGTCGCCGGCCAGCCTGTTCATGGGTAGGCTGGCTGCAATCATGAGGCGTTACAATCTCTGGAGACAGTGTCCAGATGACGGCTGCTGTGGTGACATGTTGCGTTGAGATCGTGAAGAGACTCGCAAATCGCTTCGAGGTTCCGTTCTATGTGGATGTTGTAAAACAATTATTCGCGATCAAACGAATGGGTGTTTAAAATATCTGAAAGTAAGCATTTTGGGTTTAGATAACCGCAAAATTGGCAAGGAGACTGGAGACCCGGGACACGGTTGCGGTTTTTGGCGATATGTACCGTATGCGAACATTGTTGGCATTTTTGGCATGAAATGAAATGTTTCCAATCATATATTTTGACAGCTACCCAACTGGATTCGCTTTCCGAGCGTCAATATTCTGACCTTAGTTGCAATGAGAACAAAATTTATGATGCTCTTCGCGAGCTCACCTTTTCGTGCACATTTAGCAAGCGCTTACCTATTCTGAACATAATCATGAATGAGTTAGTAGGATATACGTTAACACATATGAATGCTCAAACTGATGCGCGAGGCAATTAGTGAAGACGAGAGTTTTGTTTGATGTACGCCTAGTTAAATCAAACCATCCGCCAAAATGACAGAGTGAGTGGTACATACCAAGATATTTAAGTCAATTTCACAAATACACACACAGCACAGATTTACATGAAATCTGCGTGTGGGGGGGGGGGGGAAGAGGGGTAGCCCGATGTCATTCATTGTCTACTACTCAGAATTTAGTGTTTTCGGGGCTTTCTTTTACTCCTCTCGGAGCGGTAAACAAGGTAACTCTGTTTCTCCTCAGATCAGCGTCGCCATCCTGCCTGCCCGCCCCGAATCCGTTTGAAAGCTGTCCTCGGAGAACTGGCAGGGCCTCGTGAGCGTCGATGACGGCCGAGTGGACGGGATCGGCTGTCACACGTGGGACCCAGTCGCGACAGAGCCCCAGGATGCTCATATGAGCACATGAGCCGTTGGCGGTCCATAGAAGGGTATACGACGACGTGCGTTGCGGGTGCTTTGGAATAGCAACGCCGCGCTGCGCCCGCCGACCTCCCCATGTTTGATGCGGCCTTGCCACCCACGCATGCCCGCACGGGCGGCGCTGAAGCCCGCCGCTTTTACCCGTCGATGATTGGATTCAACAAGCAGCAGCAGGGCACGTCGCCGTGCCGTTTCTCTGGCGTTTGATCGATTCTGTTCACTCTCGCTTCGTCCGCGGCGGCTTTCTCCGGGCCTCTAGCGCGTGCTCCACCCGATTAAAACGAGCTGCACAGCGGCGGGAGGCGTCACGCTTGCCGTCCAGAGCTGCACGAACCCAGCCCGGCAGCCGACAACACGCCCGTACAGCTGACCACTGACAGCCGTGCTGACAACGGCAGCTGGCCAACGACGGCCGTACCATCAACAGTAACCGGCCAACGACTGCCGTACCAGCAGCGACAGCCGGCCAACGATAGCCGTACCAGCAGCGACAGCCGGCTAACGACGGCTGTACCATCAACGGTAACCGGCCAACGACTGCCGTACCATCAACGACAGCCGGCCAACAGCAACCGTACCGTTATCGATGGCCGACCAACAACAG